GCTCCCCGCTCGCCGCTTGTCGCTCGCCGCTTACCGCACGCCGCGCACCTAGCGACCGTAGTCTGTAGGCGGTCGTATCTCAGCCGTGCGTTCGCATTCGGTAATCTTTAATAATTAATATCTCTTTAACCCTTGTGAAAATTGTAAAATGGTAGAGGACTTTTCGGTTCAGTTTGGTCTGCTCTACCGGCATACGGCCGCTGTGTCAAAATTTTTGGGACACTCTGTATAAAGAACAAAAAATATTTAAAAATTTATTTAAAAAAAAATAAATATTTAATAAATTATTTTATTCTTCAAAAATAATTTTTTTTGTTATATTATTCCATTAAAATTATTAAACTCATAGATTGACGTACTGGAGGATTACTCGTTCAAGTACTTATCGACCTTGACGCGACTGAACTTGGCGAACAATCGCATTGTCGCCGTGTCTAGTGCTTCATTGGCGCACTTGGAGAAGTTGATTACTCTAGATCTGACATATAACTTTCTGCGATCTTTGACGGCTGATCTGGTGGTGCCGTTAAAAAGCCTGCAGGACCTACGATTGGACGATAACGACATTACAATGGTGGCGAATGATGTGCCAATGTCGAAGTTGCGCCTAAAAAAGCTCTCGCTCACCGATAATCCGCTCAATTGCGACTGCACGCTGCTAGAGTTTGCCAACTGGCTAGCAAACTCTAATCTGACTGAAGAGGACAAGTTATCAGCGGTATGCGCGACACCACCGGCTCTCGAAAATGGCGTCCTTACGCAGGTGCCACCGGGTAGTCTGCTCTGCGGCGAGCCTACACCGCCCATAATGACCCGGGTGCCACTGGCGGAGGCGCAGCTTAATCTCAAGGAGTACCACTATGATGAGAGCACCGGCATAAATCTGTTGTGGCATGTAGAAGAGTGTGCCGAGCATTATACCTGCGACTCGCTTATTATCTATGAGACAATTGGCGACAATGAGATCAAGACGGTGTCTAGTCCGTTGCACTGCGACTCTCGGATGATGCGTGATCCGTGTACACTACCAGTCGCCATACCGGCTTCCCTGCGTCTGCAACTAGGTCATAAATACCGTTACTGTGTGGTGCTGCTTGTGCCTACCACCTACGAGGACGTATCCCTCGGTCTTGGTTGCAGCGACATTATTGTTCTACAGAAGATGAGCCAACAATGGCAGGAAGAGTACGCGAGAGAAGCGGATCCTTATTCCGTGACATCCATGCAAACACCTCTTGTTTACACGCGGATTACTAGCGTTCACGCGAACATGACCGACAAAGGCTATCTGCACGTCAACGTAGTTCTTTCTAGAATAAAAGAGTCATCGACTCTCACATCATCGGCCTGCCAAGTATTTATTGTCGTATTTGACACAGTTTCTGCGGTACATCGACAAACGTTCAATTGCACTTCCGCATTCGTTATCGATGTGCAAGTGTCGTCACCAGGTTACTATCGAGTGTGCGCTAGCCTGGATGAACTTGCCGACGTCATCATCGCGTCGTCATCCAGCAATCTGGTGGATGATAATGAGAGGTTTCGTTGCATCGAAGTAGTCGAGCAAGCCGGTTATACCCAGCAGAACGTCGAGCTGTTGATCGTGATGACTGTGATCGTTGCCATGAGCATTCTTCTTATTACTCTCGCTCTGCTCGGTAAAAATCTGGCTAGACGGTTGCGGCACTCCAGAATACAGGCGCAATGCTTCTTGCCAGCGCAAGAATTTGAAATCACTCATAAGGCACATTATATCAAACTTCTGGCCACAACAAAAGTTTAGTGAGCCCACGTTAATAATGAAAAATCGACTGTATTTTTCGAATTCAATATTGACAACAAAAGTTTGACTTTAATTGAAAGTTTGTTTGAAATTTAATATTGAAAATTCAAGAGTTTAAAAATAAGAAAGCAAAACTTTTTTACATTTTTCTCGTTTTTTAAAATATTAAATTAACCTAAATCATAATACTCCAGGATGTCTGATAATAACCACGACAACGCTTATGAGCAGGTAATGAGCAAAATGTTGAAAATTGACAAAATGGTGGTCTTTTGAAGAAAAGTAATTGAATTTTGTCTAAAAGTTGCAACAATTTGTTTAAATAAAAAAAAAACAGTAACATATACGGCAATAATTCTAGTTCCATCGATAGACAGTCATTTTCTTGAGATTCGTTTAAAATTTGAAGCTAATCTCTTGATTGATTCTCGAGATTTCTTCAAAAAAGCAGTTTCGAGAAAACAGGCTTTAAAGTTTCTGTTGTGTATAAGGAATGATATTTACTACTTACCATTAAAATGTTATCACTTTGCCAGTTTTTGGAATTTTGTCTAATCATTTTAGAAACATATTTTTAAGGTCCCAGCCTTTTTAAAAATAAAAAAAAAACGATTTTTTTTACCCAACAAGGTAGAAGACCCTCTTCAATTAATATCTCAATAATTATTGCAAAATTTACAAAACGGTAAAGAACTTTTTTGTTCAATTAATTTTTTTCTGTATACTTTTTTTATTTGTCCACGAGCGTTGTCGTGGTTATTATCAGACATCTTGTATGTATATTATACTTCCTGTTGGCTCAGAAGTTGATCGCCTATAAACCATACATAAAGCTTCTAATAACAACAAAATACGACATTAGAATCTACATTAATAATGAAAAATTGACATTACTTTTTTGTGATAAAACAAATTTTCTTTTAAAAAGAAAATATATACAGCATCACTGTCACCCTTTTGACGAGAAAACAAAGGAATGCCTCCAGAGGAAGTCAAGCACATAACATGTGCCGATATTCTCGTTTAGATTCAAATATCATAGTTGAATGTTAAGAATCTTTGAGTGCTCTGAGATTATAAAAAATGTTCTCAAAGATTAACGATCTGTATTCTGATTAATTATCTTTTTAATTCAACTTTGACTACAAAAGTTTAATATTATTTTTGATATTCAACATTGAAAATTTAAGCATTTAAAAATAGGAAAGCAAAATTTACATTTCTTGTTTTTTTTTAAATTTTTTAAAATTATTATATTAGAAATATAATCTTATTTTATGTTTTATTATGCATATAAATATAAATTCCAGATAATCAATTATACAATATCTACAATACAATACAATTATCTACAGCAACCGTGCTCTTTTATTGTCTTTCGACGTAAACTGATTGGATTGGATTGTAATTAATGCAATCTCAAACACCTGTATCTCGTCCCTTTCCATAAGTAGAACATTTTAATATTTAGAAAAAAATAAAAAAAGAGTATAAAAAAATGTAATTTTTTTTATTAATTACTTGGAACCTTTTGTTTTTATTTAAATCGAAATGTGTATTCCTGCGTATGTGCATTCTATATTGTCAATCTACATTTCTCTATTTTCATCATTCAGCACTCATTATCTTTAGTGTTTAAATCACTTGATATTCTAAATTTCAATAAATATGATATTTGTCTTTAAAGTCGTAAATATCTGTTTAAATGTATACATGATAAATTATTTGCATATTCCAACCAAGATTTTTGAGTTAAAAAATTTCTATACAAAATTGAACAAAATAGAATGTTAACAAAACAACGGAACGGGTGAATTAATTGAGTCCAGACTTTCAAAGAACCCTAGGCATTACTGAAATACAATAATTTATGGCATTTTTAAAGTCGGTTGGCATATAAACAAGCAATCTTGCTGAGAATCAATTTGGCACAAAATACAACCATCTATCTTTTAACCCTTTCGTTTCCACTGCAGCCATGGCTACGTATTTAAAATTATGAAATAAAATATTATTACCATCTATATTTCCATATCTGCGAAAAGAGAGTACTAGTTTTTTTAGTCTTGTATATATGGTTTTAACATGTATTTTAATATGTATTTACAAATTTTGCGATAAAATATTATATTAAAGTATTCATCTTTTATGTTGTCTAATTCGATGATAAGAGTTATTTTATAAATACAATAAGAGTTTGAAAATTATTGTTTGAAATATTTTAAATAGATTTACTAACACCAAAAGTAAGAAAAAAGATTTTTATTATGTATCATAAGTTTACAATACAAATATTGTACATGGTTGCAATAAAAGTAAAAACTGTTGCCAAATAATAATAAATAAAAAAATCTTCAAACATTTTTAAAATGTCAAATTTTTTATGAATGATTTATTTGCTATGTAATATGCACAACAATACGAATAAATATTTTTTTGTAACTATTGAATAATTTGGGAATGAAAAGGTTAACAATTTTATCCGATATCTTATAATTTTCGTATGTTCGATACAATATTATAGGTGCCATTTTTCATTTAACAAAAAAAATACCAAAGCTAAAAGAAAATTTGTTATAAAAAAATTAATTGTTGATTCTTTTTTTAATTTTATTTTAATGTCTTTAATTCTTAAGTTCTATTATATATACTATTAAAGATTATATCATAGATTACATGAATATTTTTTTTTCCGCAAAAATCTTATATGTTTGTCACTAAGAAAACGTTCTTTACTAAACATTTCTGTACATCTATTTATGTTCACAAATTTTATTCCCATTAACGCTTACGATACTATTATTTTGCTTTTGTAATTAAGATTATACCGCCATTAATTCTGGCGCGTATGAAAAGAATGTTAATGACTAGTATTGCAGAATAAATGAATAGTAATACCACGATGCTCAAATTCCATTGTCAATCTCTGTCCTGTCTCCGCTTTCGATGTATATATTTATGAACACTGCAAATTATCATAACTATTTATCATTAGTATAACAAAGAAATTATTTTCACATCCCATATTTTGGAATAATTTTGCACACAACATATTTATTACAGTGCTTTATTAGGTATATTAGTATATTAGTAAAAATAAAAACAATGCATTTTAATAGAAACATATTTTATAATACCTCTCCGTTTAGTATAAAATTATTCCAAAGAATGAAATGTGCAAATAATTTTTTGCTTATTGTATTAGGTTGTCCCAAAAGTTCTTTTCGTTTTCTTACTAAAAATTAAATACTCAACCCCCCGTTTTACCCTCTTAAAATCTGGGGTAGAATTCTGTGCTCTAAAAAGTAGGTGATATCTTACAAAAATTCATAAATGATAAGGTCTGGCCAAGTTCCAAAAAAGACACTCTAATATGTTTATATTTAATATATGTATATATTTAATAATCATCTAAATTTTTAATATATTACCAACATGAAAAGTAACTGATTACTATGATTACTATTAATATTACCTTCTGATTACTATTTATTCCTTTCTTTAAAAAATTCTCTTTGTGATAAAAAATTTCATTTTTTGAATGACATAAAAAATCACCTCGATCAATATTTTGCCAGTAAATCAAAAACATTTTGGAAAAATGGCATCATGAGGCTTCAGGAGAGATGGAGAAAAGTGGTAGAGCAGAATGGCTCGTATACAGGGTCGGATGTACGATTTTGTGGCCCCTAAGCTATGACCTTAAGGAGGCCCCCATTTTATTAACAAAAAATACATTTTTTTAAATCTTTTCTATACTAAGGAGACCCCTTTATAATGTGAGGCCTTAAGCTGTAGCTTATCTAGCTTATGTGTAGATCCGGCACTGCTCGTATATACTTCAATAAATTGTGTCGTTCATAAAAGGTTGAGTATTTAATTTTTAGTAAGAAAACGAAAAGAACTTTTGGGACAACCTAATATATTAACTATACATAAAATCTTATAATTTTTTATTACTTATATTAGGACTGTTACTTTTGTCAAAAGTAACGACTCTAGTTTGAAACAAGTGTATATTAAAATATTGAATGAAATTCTTTAAAGTTTTCAAATCTTAGAAAATGTCAAAAGTAACAACTCTAATTTATATCACTTTTTTGATTTGATATAAATATAATAAATTTATATAAATTTATTTAATAATGTGTTACTGTTTGTAATTTTTAAATACTATACAATTAACATATAATAGATTAGATAGAATAAAGATAGACAATTTTTTAATTGCAGTTATCCTCTCCCTCACCCCCCCCCCACACACACATCATCTATACGTAAAAATTTTTACTAATTTATGTTATGCTTAAATTTACTGTTACACTACTCCATAAAAGATAAGAAATACTTTTTAGATGCCCAAAATTAATTGTAAGCAATTTTTCCATTTTTTGTAGAGTAGTGTAAATATATAGATATGTACTTATGTATAAGATCCCAAATAAATATTTAGTTATTTAACCGCGTTTATGCGGAAGAGGAGCACGGCTGAATGCCTGAGAGCACCGTGATTTTACGGCGATATTCTCATTTGGAGAGGTTAAAAAATTGATTCTTTTATTGCATATTTTGAAAGTATAATATTTCAAAAATGTGTTCTTGAAATGGCATACTTGGGTCAATCAAAAGCAATCAAAGCTAGAGCGGATTCGAATGAACGATTTTTAAATAGTTGAATAGAGCGAGCAACTTTAAATGCCGCAAGTTTTTTTGAAACCGTGTTTTTCAAACTGATTGATATGATATCTCAAGACTGATTGTGAGTTATCCAATTGACTTCCCGTTTTACAGACACACAAAATAGATATTCAGTGAGTGCCAAAAGTTGAAGTTGATATTTTTAATACTCGTATACTACCGAGAGCTTATGGTCTGCTGAGAGTACACAACCTGGACATCCTTTGAGGATCATAGTTTCATCTGTTAATAGCTCTACATTGGAAATTTTCTTACATAAGATTTTAAAAAATAACTTACCGAATTCAAAGTCCTATTTAAAGAGCAATTTTGAATTGGTAAAAAAACTAAATGGAAAATTAATAGATTTACATTACCAGCTAGCCTCGTTAGATATCGTCTCATTATTTACTAATATTCCATTTCATTAGAAACATCCAATGTTAGCATCACGAAAAGATGGAATGCAATTATGAACAGTACTTCAATACCCTCGAATGAATTTTTAATACTAGTTAATTTGATCCTAAACTCTACAGTTTTTATGTTTGACAAAGTGAGCTACAAACAAATTTTCGGTTTATTGATGGGCTCTCCAGTATCACTATAATAGCAGACATTGTTATGCAGGATATGAAAAATGAGGCCATTGGTCATCTATCTTGTGTTTCACCTTTTAACTTTATAGATACGTCGATGATTCTATTCGCCTAAAGAAGATTTAGATAATATTTTATTAACCTTCAATTCAATGCACGAGCGTTTGCAATTCACATTAGAAATAGGTACGGACAAACAGATTAATTTTTTGAACGTTCTAATTAATGAGAACAACGGTTTTATATTTGATTTGTATCACAAACCAACTTTCTCGGGAAGATACTTAAACTATCACTCCCATCCTCTCGCTCACAAAAAAAGTGTCATCTTGAGTATGGTTAATAAAATTATGTGGCTGTTCTATCGAAAATTTCATCGCAAAAATTTGGAAAGCATGATTTCGATACTATTAAATAACTGTTTTACTTTAGAATTTCATTTTCAATAGAATCAGAAACAGAATTAAGTTTCTCTTACACAAGAGCAATGATACTAAAAAGGATAATGATAAAAAGCAGTTCTTTGCTATTTCATATGTTAATGAATACATTGGAAAAGTTTCTTCCAATTGTGAAGAAATACGACTTTAGAACAGTCTTTTTTGCATTAATAAATTAGATAAATTTATTAAAACGGGTAAAGACGGTTTAGATCCAATGCAACAAAACGGAGTTGTTTACAAAATTTCATGTCATGGTTGTGAAGCCACATATGTAGGTCAGACCAAGAAACAGCTTAGAACGAGAATTAAGGAACACTGTTCTGACATTAATAAAAAATCGGATTCTTCTTCAGTTATATCCCCATAAGTTAAAATACAAACATGAGTTCAATTGGAAACATGTAGAAATTTTAGATAAAGAAACTTCACATAGTAAAAGATTAATTTCGGAAATGTTACATATCA